ACAGCCAAATCACATGATTGCACCAAAATTTGAACTTATCAACCAAAACGTTAATCCAAGTGATATATACCGGTGATTATCACACCCCTATCACATAAGTATCACACCCAAATCACATGATTACACCAAAATGTTAACTCATCAACCAAAAAAATAATCCAAGTGATTTATACCGGTGATTATCACACCCCTATCACATGATTATCACACTCATATCACATGATTACACCAAAATTTTAACTTATCAACCAAAACGATTAACCCAAGTGATGTATAATAGTGATTACACACCCCCTATCACATTATTATCACACCCAAATCACATGATTACACCAAAATTTGAACTTATCAACCAAAACGTTAACCCAAGTACCCAAATGATTATCACACCCAAATCAAAGTGTCCTAACCTAGTATTTTGACAAATAAACATTAGCTATCAGGTTCACAAACATTTACTTTCCCAAATTGTGTCTTGTTCATACACTTCAAGTTCTGTTACGTAGGAAGTCTTAGCTTTTAGCGGTTCGAGTTGCGAGGACTAATTGAAACCAGTCCATGTTACTAATATTCGATAATGTGAGTAGATTAAAGCACTTGTACTTCACAGTTTTGAACCGAGGGATAGTAAAACAAATGTTATTGAGTTAGCGTGATGTATAACAATGATTATCACACCCAAATCACATGATTATCACACCTAATATAATCCTAACCTATCGAAACCATTCGAAGTCGTTGTGATAATGCCTAACATAACCAATTGAAACCATGTTGAAATCGAGTGACATTAATATCACATGAGTATCACAACTAATCGATTAAAAACTTATTCAAAACGAGTAATTTTAAAAGATACCTTGAATTTGTCCGCTTGTTGCATGCAATGGCTTCTCGATTAGGGTTTTTGGTCGATTAGGGTTGCGTCTTCTTGGTTGATCACCGTCGCTCAACACCGTCGACGTCGGTTGTTTTTGCGATTTGAAGTTATGCTTGTATTTCGTAACCTTTTACTAAATGATAATGATAAGGCTGATCGTGTTTAAAAGATTTGATATATCATTTCCATTATTACCCTTTTAATTTTAAATTTTTTTGAATCTTTTTCAATTTCAATTTTATTTTTAAAAATCTTTTAATTTTATTTTTTATCACAATATGTGGTTATTGAGTTGTTCTCGCGTTTTCGTAAATCACAGGGGTTCTCGTTTGAACCCTTCCCTATATATATATATATATATATATATATATATATATATATATAGGAGC